TATAGGAGGGCGCGATTCAGGTCGGATGAGCTCGGGCATAGGGTGGAAGCCTGGTTGCTCTGGGGCAGGAGTGCTAGATTGAGAGTGCGTGGGGGCAGAAGAAGGGGTTGTGTACTTCGATGAAGAATTACGGTGGTGGATGGTAGAATCAGAGCGCGGTGGACGGCCCCGGACAGGGACCTGTCCACATCCCTCTCAGTAAGTGGGGATCCTTCTGATGCACGGACGAGTCTGGCATAGTCGAACTCGGGCGCTGCTTAACTTTAGCTTTCGGCACAGATGTTGGCGCTTTGGGAGTGGCCGCAATTAAAATCTCCGATGATTGATGACATGCCTTGACACCAGCGCCGACATAGGGTAACTCAAAACCGTCCGCAAAGCTATTGGCATCAGGAGCATCGTCATGCTTCCGCTTCGATCCAATAGCCAGAAGGGGGCTGGGAGCAATGTCATCACCAGCACGCTTCCCCTCCGCTTTAGCCTTCAGTAACGTGATAACCTTCACTGCTTCGGACAGATCCTTGGGGTCATCTTGTTTGGATCTTCTCCCACAACCCATACGTGTATCCTGCATTATGTCAATGGCCGCGGTCACATCGGCGATTGCCACTCCAGCAGATGCACCTGAAGGGTGGGCAATTACTGCGCAAGCCATCATTACAGCTGCGTCGAATAATGTCCGCCCGAAAGAGTAGAACAAGAATGCAGCAGGCCGCGTTTGCCGCCAAGTTGCGTGGAGAATACGCATCGCCTGAAGAACAGCGTGCCCTGCATCAACAACGCTTGATACTACGCGGCGCGGAAGGGCGTCGGAAGATGGCCCCGTACAATTCTTGAGATACGGGAGAAATACCTTCAAGATGAGTTGATTGGCAACTATCGCGAGCTCACAGCGCTGGGCTTGAAGGTTTGGTGAGATCAAAATTTTGGAGGATGGAGGTGTGTCGGTATTCCCGGGGTCAAACCGAAACGCTCTTGGGAGTTCTGACAACCAGTTCTTGATCTCAGATTCAAACTGTTCAGCGCGCTCAACAGATGGTTCTGAAGGGTCATTGGCGGTGTCGCGAAGGTATCGCCTTTTAACGCTCTTGACGAGCTGCGCAAGACTGGGGACATGTTGAAAATAGGAAACGAAGCTTAAAGGCTCAAGGACGAACCGACACTTCTGAATGAAGTAGGCAAAGCCCACTTCCGTTGGATCGCCACCCGCTCGACGAGGGAGGGGAAGAGGCAGTGAGGTAGAAGATGGCCCAAATTGTTCCTCGTCCACATCAGCAGGTAGCTTCGTGGTGAATGTACCATCTTGAATCGAAGGTGCCTGACCCATGGCATCGGAGACGAAGCTGCGAGCCGGGAGTGTACACAAAGCATAGAGAAGCGAGTGAAATGCTTACACGTCGTAGTAATAGACATCCCACCAGACGCGCCTCCGATGCTCGGCCTCGAAGATGTTGTACTTGCCGGGGAACTCGTCTGGGTCCGTGGAAAGGCCCATCATATGGGCGATATTGATCACCTTTCCCAAGAGAGGATAGATGAAGTGCGCAACACGGGGCCTGCTATCATGAAGCAGATAAAGTATCTGCAAAAGGTATGTAACCACAGAATCCATGTCATACGTATGTGCCATCTCAAACGCAGCCATAGCTTGTCTTGACAGCGCAAATAGCCCAGAAGCAGAGTACTTGTTCCATGCAGCCGTCTTCTGTGAAGAAATGGTGCGATTGTCCTCCAGACGAGGATTTTTAGGCCCCGTACTCGCTTTCTGAGCATCAATATCGTTGGTGGACTCATTCTCTTTGCAAACCAATACGCCCAGAGCATATCCAATTGCAACCGAAGCAAAGAAAGAAAGATTAGGCGCCTGTCGAAGCGCCGAAGCGACTGGAGGAGGCGGGTAAGAGGTAGGGAAGAAGATGGACCTTGCAAGGTCAGCCTTTGCATTTGTGCTACTGGAGCTTGCCCCGATAGTACCTCGTCCGTCCTCCTCTTTAGCCCAAGTGAACATGCCCTCAGTCCGAGCACGGAAGTGCTTTACATTGAAGCATGGGCGCATCTTTAAAGTCTCTTCGATAGCCGTAGCGATGCGGGACCGTATGGTGGAAGCAGAGGGTAAGAGAGCGACTAGTGAGGGTGTGACGGTAGCCTGAGAAGTGGATGTCGGGTAATAAATAGAAAATGAAGGGATCATGGCTGGAAAGGCAGGCTCGTCGTGAACCGCCAGGTCTGAAGCAGATGGTTCGAGTTTTACAGGGGTGGAAGGTGATGAGGTAGCGGGAGTAAACGAGGATTTGGCCTCGACGGGTAAGAACGAGGGAAATCAAGGTGCTCAAGCCAAAGAGCAGCAACGTCATCAAGGGAGACGGTGATAGAAGACCCAGAGCGACCGACAGCTAGCATGGTACGGTCATTATGAGGAAAGGGGAAGGTGTCTGAGGACACGCTGGTAAGGGACGCCGGAATACGAAGCCCGCCGGCAAAAATCTGAGCGACCTGTGATTCAATAATCTGAAGTCGATTGTGCAGCGACTGAACGTCGCTGTGGATATAGCGTCAGAGTGAGATAGAACGTTTACAGAAAGAAAGACAGACATCTTCTCGGCGGCCGCGGCGGTGTACTGACAGCGTTGAACTGTATCACGCTTTACACAAGAGCCGCATGGGTTGCGCCTATCGCATCTCAATTTCAAACGCTTGCACTATAAAACGATAAGGATGGAGAGAAAGGGTCAATAGACAATGTTGGCATACCTCTGCGCACACGACTGTTATACGCGAGCGTATATGCCTGGACAGAAGTGGTATGAGACAGAGCAAGAACGAAATGAGGGAAACTGACAGTCCGTTCGAGAATTTGGGCGTTGAAGATAATTGATTGGAGGAGGGAGGAGTTAGAGTTGAAGGAGCTAAAGGATTTGCAGTGGAATCCTCCGCCGCGGGAGAGGGCGCGTCCATGATTAAATAATATGGATTTTACTCCCGTGGTTATAATAAAATAAAGAGGGGGAGGGGGAGGGAGGATAGAGTGATTGTACAAAAAGTAAAAGGCAAAGGAAAGAGAGAGAGAGGATGTTGAGGGGGGGAGGGGGAGAGAGAGGAAACGGAAACGGACAGGGACAGAGACAGACACGGTAAGATTAAAGGAGGCAATTTACTGAGCTGATTACGTATATTTAACTAATATTTATTTATTTATTAAGTCTTAGACTGGACCTAGACTGGACTTGTGGGAGGGGGGGGGGTTTAAAACCAAATATAATATTAATTAATTAATTAGGCTATCAGCTTAAATCATCATCGCATTGCCTTCGATTCGATAATCATTTTAACAAGTGGTGCCGTCACCTTTCTAGTAGCCTTGGCGTTACCTTGTTCATACATCCTCATCTTAATCTGCTGCTTTGCAACATTCTTCCCTTCTACCACTTCTTCCATACTATCAATGTACTTTTCACCCTCCTTGCGCTTCAGTTCTAGCTCTTTGCTCCCCTCCAAACCTTTCCATAGTCGGTGTTTTATCTCCTTGTCATTCCGGACAAACCATAACATCTCTCTGCGATGCTTTCCCTTTTCCCCTTGTTTTACCGCCTCTTTCCAACTTGTTAAAACGCCGAGCGCGTCTATACCCTTCTCCTCGAGCCATGCAGCGCAGGCTGTAGCCAATTCCTTTCCGCCCCTTTTGTCCCCTCCGGTGATCGCCTCAATGCTTCTAGGCACACTTGCTAATCCCACCAGAACGGTCCCTCCGTTATCCCACGAGGGTAACAACCGGTATTCTTTGTAGTCCCTCCGTAAGAGATCACGCGGACTCAGAAGTTCACGCTCTCCTTCTTGACCACCAAAATTTGTGTGAGCTCCTTCACTTCCTTCACCCCTTGGACGTCTAAGATCAGGCCAATACTTGCGTCTGTGAGCTCCGCCCTCTCAAGCAAGAACGGTGCCACCTTCCGGTCTGTGGCTTCTGCCTTTCCACCCGCCTTGAGTCCCCCAGTGTCGATCAGGACAGCACAGAGGAGCAGCCGCGCAATGGCACGACTCATACCCTCAGGCCACTCGTTCTGGATCAACCGCGCGACGAGCGATGAGCACGAACCAGTAGGCACCTCGACGATGCGCGGCGACGCGTCGAGGTGGTGGTTCTCGTCCACATGGTGATCCACAATCGCGACGACTCGTGCACGCTCGTCCTCTGCAAAGCGCCCCGCAAGCGTGTTATGATCCAACAGTGCATATTTAATAGCTGGTGAAGTGTTGGAAGGTAGTTCGTCCCCCGTGAGCAGATGTGCGGGATCAATGCCGCTAAGTTCAAGCGCATACACGTTTTCAGTGCGGAGGTAGATGTCCGCGTGGGGTGTTTGTAGGAGCGGTACTGTTAGTCGCCCGACGTGATGAGTGGCGTACCATGCATAGGCGACGGCACTCGCTAGCGAATCGAGATCTATAAATATATTAGCCCATCAGGAATGCCATATCGGAGTGAGCAAAGTAAGAGCAGGAAGAGTATGAGCAAGAAACCAATGCAAAGGCATAACACACATACCGCCGGCCTCATTGCCCATAGAAATGGTCCACAGGTCCTTTTGTACCTCGCCCTGCTCTAGGGCCCTAAGATATCCGGCCCTCTGCGCCCAAAGAAACTCGGGTAAGTTTGACGGCACTGGGCTGGAATTACTCGACTGGATCGACTGGACAACCTCGGACATCGCTTGCGTTTGTCGTACGGAACGGGCTCTACTTGGAAAGATGAAAGAGGGACGGACACAACCGCGTGACAGTGGGAGTAGCGACGATCTACAGAAGATCAATTGCGTAGCCAGTTCAGAGAAAAGAGTGGTGAGGTAGTAAGTCAATGTCGTCGAGTCGATGTTCAGATCTAGAGTGACGGTGGCGGTGAGTGGTGAGCGACAAGACGAGGACGGGCAAAAAGGGAAACAGGTCTCACCCTCACCCAGATAAATAAAATAAAATAAAAATTCATAATCAGAGGGAGGAAAACCGTAAGGCGCTACCAGGGTTCGAACCTGGGTTAACGGAAAGTTATCAGAAATCAGAATCCGTTGTGATAGCCACTACACTATAGCGCCGATATGATGCCTCGACGGCAATACATATAACATCGTTTTAAATAGTTTTGCGAAGTGTGTGACAACACAACAAAGTAGAAAAGGTCAATGACAGAGCGTATGCACGTTACAAAAGTCGATCGCTAGGTGAAAATAGATTGATATGGTAGACATTTGACAGAACTACACTCCTCCACCAAGTTGTAAGTGCTCATCATTCTAAGCGCCATCGTTGCTATTCAATACGACATCCATTTCATTCATTCTCCCACTCTCATCCGCGTGCGACGAGAAGGCTTCACCGCCAGAGGCGAGGGAGTCGATCAGTAAGGCAAGGCGAGACTTGGTCATATTAGGCTCCTTTAAGAAAGCATGAGCAATGTTCGTGGAGAAAAAGCTTCATGGAGCGCGCGTACCTTGCGAATCTGCTCGAGATCATCTCTGAACGCGTCTGCTACTGACGCCATCCAAAATTGTCGGAATCGATCCCTCAGAGCCTGTTCATCTTGAGCTCGATTACCGGACCCTTCGGGAGGTAGAAATGGTGGTACGTCAGTTGGTGGTGGAGAAGGTGAAGGCGATCGGGCTCTGACAGGCTCGGAGCGTTGTGCTTTCACCAAAGACTTGAAGACAAAGTAGGTGGACCGGAATCACGCGGTGGATCATTTTCTGAATCAGGTGATGGAGACGAAGATGTGGATGAAGATGGCGACGAAGGCAATGACTCCTCTTCTCTCGTTGAAGGTGGTGTGGTTTGCTTTTTCAATGGCGCCTTCTTTATGGTCGTTTTGATTTTGTTGATACTTCATCTGAAGAGTCTGATGATGGTGACGATGATGATGATGAGGAGAGAGGACGAGGACGACGCTAGCGCCTCTTGCGCTTCCTATTGCGCTTTCTTTGTGCTATTGGTGGTGTGGCTTAGCGGTAGGCATCCCGTGCTCGTGGGTCGTGGGTCGTGGTCGTGGTCGTGTGGGTCGTGGGTATTGTGTGTTCGTGATCCCTTGTATAGAGTCTAGCTACCATGCTCATGTTCTAATGGCAACTGACTTCTGGGCGAGCTCGCACAAGTAAGCTTTAAGGTCCTAAACATATTTATTTTCCCAACTTTGAACATCATTTTCTTGCAGCAAACGCTGGATCATAGATCGTGCAACCCTCAAACAGGCTCGCGCCGAGGATCTACAATATGTAGACTCCCGGAGCATATCGACTTTCTCAACATTTATTTCGCGAATCGTATGATCCCTATGCCTTCAGCTCCTTCTTTATCGACTCACACATGGCCGCAGTCATCGCGATGTTGGGCAAACGCTTGTCCCTACGACAGCGGGTCATCGCTACTGCCACCGTCTTTTTCAGGCGGTTTTATGTCAAAAACTTGTATTGCGAGACGGATCCTTTTATTGTAATAGCTGCGTGCTGCTATGTTGCCGCGAAAGCAGAAGAATCACCTGTCCACATCAAGAATGTCGTGTCCGAATCGCGGATTATGTTCAGCCGTTCGTGTCAATTCTCTGTCAACACGTTTCTTCTCGTATCGCTCAATCGCATGGATAGAAGAAGGGTACGGCGTCAAGACTTTCCCCTCGGATAATTCAAAACTCGCAGAGATGGAATTCTATCTCGTGAGCGACCTAGAGTGCGACTTGGTCGTATTCCATCCATATCGCACCCTCCTTACATTGTGTGGGAGAGAGGGGGCCCATGCACTCGTCGCGGAGGCGGGAGAGGTCGGGGTCGGAATTGACAACGGCCCTCGATACTGGGGTACCGGCGAGGGAGATTAGAGCTAGAAGAAGGGCCATTGCAGACAGCATGGTAAATCGCCACCGAATCGTCCACCCCGTCTCTCTCTGCCGCAAACTGAACGACGCTCACATGTCGCATCAACAGGTTCATCATCAACGATACATACCGTTCCGAGATTTGTCTCCTCTACCCCCCGCACATGATCGCCATTGCGGCAATCTACCTCACGCTTGTACTCAATGAAAAGACACGCGACGCAATTCAGGCGCAGGCAGCTCCCGTTCCCCCACCACGCCGCTCGTCACGCACCAGTTCTGGAAGTGCACACCGGAAGCCCGCCCCAGCGCAGCAACAGGACTTTGTTGGCTTCATGGCCGGCCTGCGCGTGTCCTTGCCCACGGTCGCGATGATTGCCCAAGAGATTCTGTCGTTATATACTCTCTGGGAACGGTACTCTGATGCTGCGCCCGAGTCTGGGCCTGGTGGCAGTGGCGCAGGGGAAAACTCAGGGGAAGACGTCGTGACCCCCGCTTTCATGACGCGACTGCTGCTGCGCATGCGCGAGGGACGTCTCGCGGACCTTGCACATCCCGCCAGCGGGCAACCAATGAACAAAAGACTCGAAAGAACACAGGCTGCAGGCTGAATTACCCTCCTCAATGCATTGAAGTCATGTGCATTGCTTAGCGTGGGGTGTTAGATTGTAGCGCAATGTTCGCCACCTCCCATTAACGCTGTTGACAGACAGCATAGCACCCTCCGACCAATAGGTATGATAGTAGATGAATGAGTACATATGTCACAATTCACTTGATACAAAGTCGCCCACGGTTCACATCACCTTGAAGCCCTTAGCGACGAGGGTGTTCTTCAAAGTCAGCAAACGGGTCCTCTGCAACTACAGTCTTGGTCGATTCAGTGTCCTTTTTGTCCGTCTCGTCGCCGCCATACGCAGGCAAACTCTGATCGAAAGGGGGTGGGGGCCGGGTGGCGGGGCGTAGGTTTGGTTGTACGGCACCTCGGGTAGAGTCACGGTACTTTCGATGCCTGCCGCATATCCAGGACCAGCAGCATATGCAGGAGTGTACGTAGTAGGAAGGCGAGTGCGCGCACCGCCGGTTACGAGTGTCGTCTCTTGCTGAGCGTAAGAAAAGACGATGACCGTGAACAAAGACATGAGGACTACAATGACTTGTCAAATGTCTGAGGCGACGTGTCCGAGTAGAGCACGCACTGATTTCGCCAATGAGCCAGAAGATTTCGGAGAATGAGTCTTGGTTCCAGGCCTTCTTGCAAACTGTGAAAAGAAAAAGTGAAGGGTCAAGTCCAGCATCATGATATGATCTAATCGACAAACATCGAGCCGCTTCGTCTGGCGTAAGCTTATCCTTGGGGTTTGTGGTCCAGATACCCCAGCGAAAAACTGCATCATGACCTTGGGCGAGTGCGGTGCATTCACCAATCAAGCCATCCTTCATGACGAATGTCAACCAAGACAACAGCAACCGCGTCACCGACTTACCTTGAGCATGAAGTGGACAATTGTTCGTAAAAAGCCAGTGCCAATTACTATGACGGTCGCTGCAGCGGATAGAAACGAAAAGATGCGGATGAGAGCGAGACGTTTCTACACAATGGCATTGGAAATCATAAGGGCAAGGGAGAAGTCGTAGATGGATGGTCATACGGTAGCAGCTGCAACAATGCCAAAGAGGAATATTGCTGTAGTTCCTGCATATAACGAGCCGAGGACGATTGCGAAGGTGGCAAGTCTTTTCTGATGCTCTACACAAGGAAAGCATATAGGTCAACGTATCGTGTAAGAAGGCGCAAGACAAAAACTCACGCGACCTATCTATACTGAGCTCTTGGAAGAGCGAGATCTGATCCCCCAGGCCAATCAATCGTATGCATCCTCTTTACTGACTCCAGGGCGACACTCACCGTGCTAGAGAGACAGAGAAAGGGAGTTCAATACAACACGACTCACAAGAGAACATTTCTTAATGGATACACTTACTATGTAAGAGACCAGATGGCTCCAACGGCGGCAACTATACACTCCGAAAGTCAAGGCAAATTCAAGGCGGATGCGAGCGGGGCAGGAACATACGGGAAAGAACAGCTGATCGTAAGCTTTGTGTTGTCACTCGACTCACGTATGCATATGGGGCCGGATGATCTATGGGAGCATCTTGGCAATATGACGGGGACGGTATGAAGGTTGCTCACCTTGCGCGTTGCTCATCGTGGCGGGAGAAATGAAAGGTTTTAATTATCAGCCAGTAGTCTGATTATATAAATGGAAGGGTAGCTCAAGCCACAGAGTCAATGCACACGTTATTGTTGCAACGGGGGTAGTTTAATGGTGATAGTGGCGGTAGTGGTGGGTTGTGGGTGCGGGTGTGGGAGTGGGAGAAGTTTGCTAACATTACATCTTCCCCCTAAACATAGAGCGTCCAATGGGCGTCGTCTCTGCCTCAGTCTCAGCGCTAGCGTCTGTCGTCCAAGTGCAGCAGCAGCAGTGTGGCCTCATCGGTTATCCCGGCATTGCATTTGAAGGTGTCTCACACTCACAGCATCACCCATACCATATTATTGTTAATGTCCGTCTCGTTGAGCACTGGTGTCAGGTCAGCATGGACCATTATTCCCGAGCTGAACTTCTGGTGCCTACTACTGCCTTGCAACGCTGCCGCCACTTCGAAGGACGGCATTTTCATTGAATCCTGCATCATTCACGATACGTCCTCATTTTCTATCGGATTCGCGTTCACAGGCCTGTCTATTCGTGACGTGTGTTCTTTGATACTACAAGATTCACGGCAGCGGCAGTGGAAATTTGGGATGTGTTTTAAATTTTCAGTCTCTGTTTAACGCATCGTCAATCTGCAAAGTATATTGTCCGCTGTGCTTCTTCATTAGAACAAATAACAACCTGTCATGACTGTCATGTGTAGCCGAACGACTTGTCTTCTGGTAGGCTGAGGGTATATTGACACGCAGGGTGGGTTACCCGGGTAATGTACCTGTACCACAAGGATCGAAGCCCACTGTCACGAGAAAACCTTCGCGCCGGTTGGGTTGATTTGGTGCCTACGAGTGACACACAGGAACAGCACTAGCTCGGCGCAATATGACAGGAGTGATAGAATATTTATGGCAAATGTTCACGTTGCAATGAGGTGTAATTTGAAGAACGAAAAGGAGCAGTGCGGGTATAGTGTGAGTGAATGCAAATTGACTTGAGAAACAAGCAGCAGGGCACA